TCCTAGTTTTTCTCCATCTAAAGCTGAATTGAAGAAAAAAATTAAATCATTACAACAACGAGTTCGACGGCAAGAAAAATCTATCAGAAATTTAAAAGATTTATTAAAAATATTAAAAAAAAAGAATTTAATTGAAAAATAAGCAGAGGAGTTACTAATGGAAAAATTTGATGGTACAACTTTGGAAATATTCCAAAACATTGTTAAAAATAAAGGTATAAAATCTACAGGACGTAGATTTAGTAAGACAATTAAAGAATTTTCTTTGACTCTGCACTATTACTCGCCTAAAGCTTATGAGTATGCAAGGTAATTTATAATTGCAAATGTAATGCAGAAGGTTTTGGTGATATCCATTTTTTTTTAGCTTAGTAACTGAAAGCTTCCTTTTTTTCATGGTAGGTATTGACGTTGCTACCTGGACTGCTTGTGCATTACTTTGACAAGTTTGCACATTAATTCAATAGAGCTTTTGCATAACATTGACAACACTGTAATGCACAAATTATTTTAATTTTTAATGCTTTTATCAAATGCTTACACAAATTGCTCACCACAGCTTGTCTCCTAATAAACTAAAATGCTATTATTTTTAATACTTTTAATTTAATAACTATTTGTTGCATTTATTTTAGATCAGTCCTAATATTACCAAGTAGTAAGTCTATAATGAACTGGACTTCATTAATCAATGCAGAACCAGGCATATTTAGTGAAGTTATGGAATGTCTGAAAACTTTAAGTCCAGAAGACAAACACTGCAATTTATGTTTGGATGCAATGTCCTTAAGAAAACAAATTTTATGGAGTGATAAATTTAATAAATTTATTGGGTATTGTGATTTTGGTGGTCAATTACAACTTGAGGGGACAGATACTCCAGCGACAGAGGCTCTATTTTTTATGCTTGTTAGTCTTAATGGTAAGTGGAAATTATCTATAGCATATGTTCTTCAGAATAAAACCACAGCAGTTGCTCAAGCAGAATTAGTCAAATCAATCCTTCATCATACACATAATGTCGGTTTAACGGTTTGGGGTATTACATGCGATGGTGCTTACACAAATATAGCTATGATGAAAATATTAGGTTGCGTCATTGGAAATAGTTATAATGAAATAAAAAGTTGGTTTTTACATCCTATTAGTAATGATAAAGTTTATTTTATACCAGATGCTTGTCATAACCTAAAATTGGCCAGAAACACACTTGGTAATTGCAAAGTACTTACATCAGATTCTGGATTTATTCGTTGGCAACATTTAATAAATTTACATGAAATACAGCAAGAAATTAAATTAAAATTTACTAACAAACTCTCAAACTCGCATATTAAATGGCATAATAATAAAATGAAAGTATCTTATGCTGCTCAGACTCTTTCTGCATCCACAGCAACTGCTTTACATTTTTTAAACCAACAACATGTCCCAAAATTTGAAAATATACTAGCAACTGCAGAGTATTGCCAAGTAATTGACCGGATATTTGACTTTTTAAATTCAAAATCTATATTCTCTAAACATTATAAATCTCCAATTACTAAAAACAATATTGTTGACCTGGAAAATAAAATTATTCCATTGATTAAATATTTGT